AGTTAGAAATTTTAAAATTGAAAGCTACTTTTCCGGCAAAAGAGTTCACCGCTAAAGGGAAGGCAAAGATTGATTTGAATAGAAAGTGTTTGGAGCAGGACTTAGCAAAGTGTTTCTGTCAAAGGCCAAAATAGTAAATATTTTAGACCTTGGGCATTACTGTCATGTCTCCACCAGTCACTCTGCCTTGATGGCACCAAAGCAGCCATAGACTACATCAGTGGGCGTGGCCTCGTTCCAACACGACCTTATTCACAAAACAGCCCTCAGGCTGGGTTTGGCCTGTGAGCCATGGTTTACAGATGCTGGAGGTAAGTGGTTTCAGCAAGCAAGCAATCTTTGGCTACAAGAATGATCCCAGGGCCAAGAAACAATGACATCTGTCTCTAAAGGTTTAACTGGACAGTCAGACCACCACCCTCCCAGCCTAAGAATCCAAGTGATCGATGGTGCCTTTCGTCGCTGAGGCTGTGGCAGTACTGAACTTCATACACATGACCTCTGAAGTGGAATCTTGTGGGGAGTTTTGTTTTGGAGAACTTTTGTTTGGTTCTGGGACATTTTTCACTTGGGTCGTGGGAGCAAGTTTATCCCAGACGTACCTATCAGTATTCAGCTATTCAGCCCTAGGGACTTCCTGTCAACCTTCCAAGAATGCCCTAAAATTCCTCAGCTTGCAGAAAAAGCTTCAGCCCCACCCAGTCACCATTCCCACACAGGTGGGTGGATCACTTGAGGCCAGGAGTTCGAGACCAGCCTGGCCAACATGGTGAAACCCCATCTCTACTAAACTGCTGCGCAGCCCAGGACTACCCTGATCTGACTTCTAATACTCCAGAAGGCCATCCTGGGAGCGAGTTCATCAGCTTAGCTGTACCCTTAGCCATTGTTCACTTGCATTCACCTGTCAGGAAGGATGATTCAGCACTACTCTATTCTTTCCTAGAAATCAGGAAGTTTTATTGTTCAGGCTGTTATTGTAGATCCCCTCTTCAGGTCTTGACTCTTTCAGGAGCTGCTGATCGAAGGGGCCTGTGATGGACTTTTTAGTTGCCTAGATACTAGCTCACTGTGGCCTGGGGAGTCCTTGTTCTGGTGTCTGCAGAGGCCAGGCCCAAGGGCGTTCACTGAAGAAGAAAGTACTCCCACTACCTCTCTCTTTGCACAACCAACTTTGGCCAACCCAGTCTGCTTAGACCATCAGCATTTACAGTCCTGGCACCCCTTGCAAATTGAGAACACAGTCAGGCCAGAGAGATGGTTCATAAAACCAACAGGATTTGTTTATGAGTTTCTTCTCATACAAGCCAAATACAAGATGTGCAAAGAAAATGAAGTATCCTCGTGCTGTCATTACTGGCAGGGGCGGCAACATTCCTGAGAGGTTAATTGTGTGCCAACCATTTTTCTGAGTAGCAGAGTGGTTCAGAACAGAGCAGGACTCTCTATAACGTGCTAAATTCAGGTCCTGGCGGGGCCGCTGACATGCTTGCGCAGGGATGGTTAGCGAACTGACGGAGACAAGCACGTTCTCTCCCGTGGTGAACTCTGCACAGCCAAGGGCCAGCAGTGATGATGCTGTTAGCAGTGGTGGGCACAACTGCCTTACACCTCCGAAGTAGCAGGATATATCCTCACATTCACTGTGGGTCACGGTGGCAAAGCACCTCTTGTCTGTTTACCTGTCTGACAGTGAGATGCTAGATCCTTGGCATCTTACTATTGCTTTATGTGAAGGAGGGAAGAGATGAGATGTAGGAAAAGAAAAAGTGAAGAGACCGACTTGGCCCCAGTCCTGGAGGTTTCATCAGCCTCTTTTTCCCCTTCCTGAAAATTGAAAGTGTCCATTTCTTCTTGGGTTCCCGTGAGACATAATTTCTAAGGATGATGGCCAGATGTTTTGAAAACGTGTTCGTAAGTTCAAAGAATGCATGTTCATCACCACATCTAGTACTGCTGGCTCTAAGGGGTTTTGCCCCAGATTGATCTGAACCTGTCTTCGCTCTGTTCTCTCTGACAAGAACTAGGGCCTGTTGAAGGAACGCATGCACTTTTGAGCTTGTCAACCATGCATGTGAGGCCGTTACTGGAACTCGACGTTGAACAAACTGACTCTGTCAATCTTTCCTGGCTGGGACTTGCAAACTCTTGGTTGTGTTTACTCAGAATGTTAATAATTTCATAAATTATTAAAAGGGAACCAAAATACTTTCTTTTTAAGAGGCTATTGAGATCACACGTCATTCCACAAATATAATAAGCTATGTAAGCTGAGCGAGTCCAATACTCCACACTTGCCATGAGCCAGCTGGAAGCGCGGCCATTTTCATCCGACATTTCATGTGTGGAACTACGGAGGCATGAGGTCTTTAAAAGTGAGGCCTTAACATTTTAATAATTGTGTTGGGTAAAATGTTTTTGCAAAAAACAAACGAACAAACAAAGTAATTGCTATTTTTCTCCTTTCTGGTCTCAATAATTTTTACTCCCTGTGCCCAGTGTATCGACATTACCAAGCCTCTGTGGTTTTGCCCATATCATCACCCTGAGGAATCCTATTCAGATTTAAGGGACCCGTTTCCTTCTGACTTCCTAAGCTCCTGCTCCCTCTCTAGGTAGAACCGATGCTTTTCCCTCTTACCCTCACTCTTCCTCTTTGTGGCCATTGGATCCTATTAGAATTATGTGAGGCGATTTTTAAAAATATAGATCTGAAACCCCATGCCAACACTACTGAGTCAGAATGCTTTGGGGCCAGTATCCAAAGATCTCATGTACTCCATGAATATATATACCTCTTATGTACCCCCAAAAATTAAAAATAAAAAAAATTTTCATTAAAAATTTTAATGTACTTTAAAGTACTGCAGGTGATTCAAATGTCATTGGTCACAGGATCACTACCATGAGAACCCAGGCCATTGTTCCTATATACCTTTGTCACGCAGTCATTTGCATGCTTTCTCTAGCTTCCTAATTACAAGCTGTTTGAAGGCAATGACATGCATAGTATCCATATTTCACTCAACACTTTTTTTTTTTTTTTTTTGAGACAGAGTTTTGCTCTTGTTGCCCAGGCTGGAGTGCAATGGCACAATCTTGGCTCACTGCAACTTCTGTCTCCTGGGTTCAAGCGATTCTCCTGCCTCAGCCTTTTGAGTAGCTGGGACCACAGGACCACAGCTGGCTAATTGTTTTGTATTTTTAGTAGAGACAGGATTTCACCCTTTTGGCCAGGCTGGTCTTGAACTCCTAACCTCAGGGGATGAGCCCACCTTGGCCTCCCAAAGTGCTGGGATTACAGGCGTGAGTCACTGCACCCGGCTTCAACACGTTCATTGAGTGCCTGCTGTACACCAGGCACTGTTCCAAGAGCAGGAGACATGGCAATGAACAAAACACGTCGGCCTTCTCTCTTGGACCTTACATTCCCAGGAGAAAAGTCTGTCAATAAAAAGAAGGTGAGATTATGAAATACTGTTTCATTAGATGATAAGTACCCTGGAGGAAGATAAAGCGGGGAAGGAGGAGATGGTGAAGTCCAGGATGGAGGTGAAGGTAACTTTAAGCCTTTGCTACAGAGGTGGTAACTGAGCAAAGATTTGAAGACTGTGAGGAAGAAGGCCAGATAGACATTTGGGAGAAAGACAAGGTAAGGCTCTAATGCCACACTCATTCTAGAACCAGATAGGTGGTCAGTATGGCTGGAGCAGAGTGAGCAAGTGGGAGAGAGGATGGAGGAGGCTGGTGAGATGCGGGGGAGGGAGGAGATCTTGTAAGGGCTCATCTGTCCCTGTGAGAGTGTTGCCTTAGCTTGGCACAGTGACTCACATCTGTAATCCCAGCACTTTGGGAGGCTGAAGTGGGCAATCACGAGGTCAGGAGTTCGAGACCAGTCTGGCTAATAGGGTGAAATCTCATCTCTAATAAAAATACAAAAAAGCTGGATGTGGTGGTGGGCATCTGTAATCCCAGCTACTCAGGAGGCTGAGGCAGGAGAATCTCTTGAACCTGGGAGGCGGAGGTTTCAGTGAGCCAAAATCACGGCACTGCACTCCAACCCAGACAACAGAGTGAGACTCTGTCTCAAAAAAGAGGGGGGGAATTTATGGAGTCCTAGAGATGGTAAAACAGAGAGAGAAAATGAATAAACATAAAGATGATGGTGGTGACAGCTGCATTGGTAGCTGCAGGTGTAATAATAGATGGGAGTCCTCTGTATTGCTGGGTATTAGTGTCCCTTGGGGCTGCTCATAAAAATGTGAGAATTACACTTTGAAGTCTATCTTTTACTTCAGTCAGACTTTGGCTTGCCCTCTGTGAGCCACATTTTAGATAGAATAAGAATAATTTCTCCCTGATTCCCTTCCCTGTTGAATTTGTGTCATAGTCTCCTAATACAAATGAGATGACACTTTGCATGGTCATCAGGCCGTTTTAATACAGGCTTGGGAAATTTCTTAATTCACAACTGGGAATTGGTTTCTACTAGGAGACTCATTTGAATGATTTGAATATCTGTGTGTAGACGTTACATGCTAATGTTATTATTCATATGTAATATAGATGCAACTATTAATTTTTCTAGCCTATGTCCAGTTCTTTTTTTTTTTTTTTTTTGAGACAGAGGTCAGTCACGCCCCACCTGTCACTGCTAATAAATCCATACAGCATTAAAACCACATGGTCCATGCCTATAATCCCAGGGGTTTGGGAGGCCAAGGCAGAGGAGCACTTGAGGCCTGGAGTTCCAGACCAGCCTGGGCAACATGGGGAGATCCATCTCTACAAAAAATAAAAAGAAATTAGCATGGTGGTGCATGCCAGTAGTTCTAGCCACACAGGAGGCTGAGGCAGGAGGATCCCGGAGTTTGAGGCTGCAGTGAGCCACGTGCCACTGCACTCCAGCCTGGACAACAGAGCCAGACCATGTCAAAAAAAAGGCCTGCTCCCTTACTCTACCGCCCTTCACGGCCAACCCCTCTCGTTTCTCGTTGCAGGATGTTCTGGAAGCTTTCCCTGTCCTTGTTCCTGGTGGCCGTGCTGGTGAAGGTGGCGGAAGCCCGGAAGAACCGGCCCGCGGGTGCCATCCCCTCGCCTTACAAGGACGGCAGCAGCAACAACTCGGAGAGATGGCAGCACCAGATCAAGGAGGTGCTGGCCTCCAGCCAGGAGGCTCTGGTGGTCACCGAGCGCAAGTACCTCAAGAGTGACTGGTGCAAGACGCAGCCGCTGCGGCAGACGGTGAGCGAGGAGGGCTGCCGGAGCCGCACCATCCTCAACCGCTTCTGCTACGGCCAGTGCAACTCCTTCTACATCCCGCGGCACGTGAAGAAGGAGGAGGAGTCCTTCCAGTCCTGCGCCTTCTGCAAGCCCCAGCGCGTCACCTCCGTCCTCGTGGAGCTCGAGTGCCCCGGCCTGGACCCGCCCTTCCGACTCAAGAAGATCCAGAAGGTGAAGCAGTGCAGATGCATGTCCGTGAACCTGAGCGACTCGGACAAGCAGTGAGCGCCGGGCCCCACGCAGCTCAGCCCCGCGCGCCCGGCAGCTGGGAGGCGCCGCCGCCGCCGCCTCTGTCCCTGCCCTCCGAGCCCACTCTCACGCTGCCTGGTGCCCCCCTCAGCAGCAAGCACGTCTCTTAGGGCTGACGGTGTCCTTGTCACAAACGTGGATCGCAAGTGGAGCTTTTGCTGATGTTTTCCTGACCGACCCCGGGCCCCGCCTGCACCTCCCACACCAGGTGGTGGATCAGGCCCGAAGGCAAATGCTGGAAATCACCACCCGCCACCCAGCAGTCCGAGAGGACCTTTCGAGGTGATGCACTGCAAATCCGGCATGGATGTTTCCACCATGTGGAAAAGCGAGGATTTCCCTGCCCGCCCCTGCACTCCAGCCCGCCCAGTTCCTGCGCGCAGTGGAGGATGCGTCCCTTTTCTGAGCTGCCCCTCAGACCTCTCCTGCTGGTCCCTGGACCTCGGGCTGGGGGCGCTCATTCTTGTGACTGGCAGGCTGCCCTCGGTTGCTGCTGTGATGTGGATATGTACAACCTCCATAAATAAGTACGGGGATAGGGGCGTCTCCTAACAAACCGATACCAGGAAGACAACTCGAGCCGCTTGGATCCCGAAGTGGGCTTCCCGGGGAACCCTGAGCACAGCAGGCTACACTCTCCCCACCCTCCGTCACCACCACCTCTTCTTCCTCACTATCCCCACCCCCGATTTGTGGACTAAAGATGAACTCCGGTGTGCATGCTATTATTGCTGCAATTAGAATATTATCACACACACAAAGTCTCCATATTAACGCTGGTTTTATAAGTGACCGTATATTGTAAAGAGCTGTTTAAAAAGTATTATAGACCTATTCATGTATTATTTCACAGATTTTGACTCTGTCTTGCAGCACCATTCTGAGTAAGGATGAGAGCAGGGGATGATCTGCCCAGAAGGTGTTTTACTCAGAAAAAAAAAAACCTGGTCAGCAATTCACTGTCATGCACCTATTTTAGATTGGGCAGGGAGATAGACGGAGTCGTGTTTTTTACTTTGAATATTATTTCACTGAAGGTACTAAAGCATTGCAGCACAAAGTAGAAATTGGTTTGGGATGGATAGGTACAGGGAGAGGCATTCGCTGGGAAATCGATGACCAGAAACTCGAAAGCCCCTATAATGTGGAATACGCATACGTGGGGTGAAACGGTATACTATTCTCACTGCCATGACACTAAGCAAAAAATCTTTCGTGTTAAAAGAAAGAGAAAAAGAGAGGGATATTTAAAAATATAAGGAGTTGAGTTGCTTTGTGGTATAGGAGGGAGAAGGAATAAAATATATGGAATAGTAATCTAGCTGAACTGTTCTGCACAAAACAACATGCTTCCTTTTCAAAGAATAGACTTCAAAGGTGACGAACAAACATTAGGTCACTTTTGTTTTGAGACGGATTATTGCTCTGTCACCCAGGATGGAGTGCAATGGCATGGTCTCAGCTCACTGCAACTTCCGACTCCCTGGTTCAAGCGATTCTCCTGCCTCAGCCTCCCAGGAAGCTGGAACTACAGGTTCCAGGTGCCATCATACCCAGCTAATTTTTGTTTTTTGTTTTTTTTTTTTTTGTTTCTGTTTTTGTTTTTGAGACGGAGTTTCGCTCTTGTTACCCAGGCTGGAGTGCAATGGCGCGATCTGGGCTCACTGCAACCTCCGCCTCCTGGGTTCAGGCAATTCTCCTGCCTCAACCTCCTGAGTAGCTGGGATTACAGGCACGCGCCACCGTGCCCAGCTAATTTTTTGTATTTTTAGTAGAGAAGGGGTTTCACCATGTTGACCAGGATGGTCTCGATCTCTTGACATCGTGTTCCACCCGCCTCGGCCTCCCAAAGTGCTGGGATTAGAAGCGTGAGCCACCGCGCCCAGCCAATTTTTGTATTTTTAGTAGAGATGGGGTTTCACCATGTTGTCCAGGATGTTCTCGATCTCCTGACCTCGTGATTGGCCCATCTCTGCCTCCCAAAGTGCTGGGATTACAGGTGTGAGCCACCTTGCCCAGCCACCTTTTGTTTTTATAATGAATTGTAACTTTCTATGTTGTGGTCTCTTGATAGAAGGAAGTAGACATAACTTATTTCCAGCGAAATTATACTTCCTCTGGTTCCCTTTGCTCAGTTGCCCCAGGAAGGCTTCCCTGTGAGTAATGCTTATGGAATCTGACAAATGTGAATGAGCTGCCATTGGTGGGAATCAGTACACTTTGAAAACCTTTCACTGATGCTTCCCCACAAAGTGCTCCTGTGGAGGGGTCATTCCCTAGTATGTGAGAGAGACCTTCTGCAAGCTGCTGCAGAGACTTAGCTTCCTGATGCTGGGTGGTGGCAGTGGATCTAGAGGATTGGGGTGGGGTGGGTTGGTGAATCTATTTCAGGTCACTGCACTACAAGGTTCATTTCTGTCATTTCTGAAACACCGTGAGAGCTGAGCAAGAATGTGCTGCTGCAGAGGGGATCTTGGTTTTGTAAATGGGCATATACAGCCTGAACTCAGGAGGCAGAAATCAAAAGAAATCCTTGAGGGCTGGAACCTGAGGATGGGAAGAAAATGTAGAGAAGGGTGTTCAAGGTAAGGATTGATTTTTGCATTTAGCAGAAAACCTCAAGTCAGACTCAGTGGCAGAACAAGCAGCAGAAAAGCTCTGAAGGAAGGAAATTTTTGTGATTGAAATGGAGGCTAATGGGGCGAATTGGGAGGTGAGTGGAGGAGAGTCTCTGACCAGCTGCAGTCAACCCCTATCATTTGTTAACATGGAACCCATACAGATAGGGGAGGGATTAAGCTAAGAACTTACAGAATGCAAACACGAGCACACTCTCTTTGAACCCAATTGTGGGTGTAGCAATGAAAGCAATATGATATGCTGCGGTGTAGTGTGAAGCTCCTTCTGGGGGTTCTCATATGTAAAAAGTTTACCTTATAATGGCTCAAATTGTATTTAATTTTTTTGTTTTGTTTATAAATGAAGAAAAGCTATAAGTATAATGTAATTATTTTATAGGTATACTATTAAATTATAGAACAAATAAAGATAATCTAGGAATATATGTGATCCCAGTGTGATGTGCCATAAAAGAGGAATTTTTAACTTGTTTCAGTGAGCCGTGACGCAGCACTGTGCATTCAAGAGTGTTTTTGTTCAACCATGTTGAGTTCAACCCCTAGCTCATGTCACGTAATCTCCTTTGGGATCTGGAATCTTCTAAGAGAATTAGAATCAGGCATCCAAGGAGAAGAAGTGATGGAGGTGGCACTCAGTCCTGGTCTTTGGGAGCTTCCAAGCCTCTTCCAGATCCCTGCCAGCTGAAGACAGAGTTTTGTCACTGTGCTGGCTGAATGAGAAACCATAGCAAGGAAGCCTTGAGAAACAGCTGCAAATGGAAGTCCACCGTTAGTGTCCTCTTCAGCAGCAGGACACACTTGTCCCGAGTTTTGTTTATTTTCACATTTACTTCTCATGAGTGCCAACATTTCTTAATTTAAATATTACTTAGTTTACAGTGTCTCCATTTTCCTATTAATTGACTTAATCTGCCATTCTAGAAAACTCAATTATCAATAAAAAGTAAAATCCATAATCAAATTGCCCATGGTTGATTCACTGTGTTTAATTCAAAGGAACTAAACTCTACTTTCTAGTAAATAATTCATCTTGGTTTATTAAAAGGGACAGACTAGTTCACTGTGTGCTAACATATTTTGACCCACTTGTTTTTGAAGTTGGCCAACTGGTTTTTAAGTTATAAAGTCAATGAAAATGACTTTTGCTATTGTGTGAACAATTTAGAATGTGTATACTCCCAGAAAGCTTATTTAATGATTGATCTTTCACCACTGATTATTAATGTCTGCATGAGCAATAATAATGATAATGCAATGAAAACTTTTTAAGTGAAAGCAAGTTTATTAAGAAAGCAAAGGAATAAAGAATGCCTACTTCACAGGCAGAGCAGCCTAAACGTCTCATTCATCATGTTACCGTCTGAATTCTTAATCCCCAACCTCGCACCCCCTTCACCTGATTCCACTGCCACTACTTCTCACACACAGCAGATGCCCATTCAATTCACCAAAGGCAAAGCATGAGAAACAGTGCAGTTTTTATTGTCGTTTTTGTGCCTTGATGTTACTGACTTCTCTAGAATTTGGTCTAGAATATAAGGCAAAACAAACAAAACAGAAATCACTGCCATATTAGTTTTTGAATCCTGAGTTTTCTACCTTGTTTGTCTTCTTTTCTCCACCTTTTAGAGCCTCATGTTATATGTGAGTGTGTGTGTGTATATAAACACAATATATATATAGTGTATAGTGTATGTGTTATGTGAAAAAAAGAGAATGGTGTACATATAATGTATAGTGTGTATGCTGTGTGTATATACACACACACATAATATCTGGAGATTTTAGTGGAGGGAATGGGAAAAAAAAATGTCTGCTGCCATCTTACCCAGAATCAGAAGTTTCCTGAATATTTCTTTGTATTTCTTTCCTTCCTTCCTTCCTTCCTTCCTTCCTTCCTTCCTTCCTTCCTTCCTTCCTTCCTTCCTTCCTTCCTTCCTTCTTCCTTCTTCCTTCCTTTCTCTTTCTTTTTCTTTTCTTTCTTCTTCCTTCCTTTCTTTCTCTCTTTCTCTCTTTCTTTCTTTCTTTCTTTCTTTCTTTCTTTCTTTCTTTCTTTCTCTTCCTTCCTTTCTTTCTTTTTCTTTCCTTTTGACAGATTCTTGCTCTGTCACCCAGGCTGGAGGGCAGTGGTGCGTCTTGGCTCACTGCAACCTCCACCTCTCAGGTTCAAGTGGTGCTCCTGCCTCAGCCTCCTGAGTAGCTGGGATTACAGGTGTGCACCACCATGCCCAGCTAATTTTTGTATTTTTAGTACAGACAGGGTCTCACCATGTTGATCAGGCTGTTCTCAAACTCCTGACCTCATGATCCATCCACCTCAGCCTCCCAAAGTGCTGGGATTACAGCCACGAGCACTGTGCCCAGCCAGTTTCCTGAATATTTATAAGGTTTATTACCAACTTTCTAAGGTGTATGGAGTGTGTACTTACCAAGTCCTCCAATATAACTCACTCCATACCTCTCATCAGGTCCTATTACATGAGGTCAATCATAGGGTGAATCTGTGTAGTGATTTACAGAATGTCCCTTCAGTTTACATTTTGACAAAGAACATCATAACTTACATAGTCTGGGGGCAAGACCAGAAACATCAACTGTTCATCCCATTGGAATGCAGGCTACCTTTGATCCTCTCATTGATTGGGATGACAGAAAACACACTTGCCAGGTAAAGTTCTAGAAGTGGTTTTAATCTGCTTTCACAAAGGAATCACACTGAGTGCTGTAGGTGTGCTGGAACATCTGCCATGCTCCATTTGATTTTTGCAGGAGCCAGCATGGTGAAGTAAATGGAAATACAGCCAAGGCTACTACAGTACTGAAATCTTTGAGGGGTTCATTAATTTTCCCGATTCCTTCTGGAATTCAGCATCATTTTAGATGTACTCTTTTTTCCAGGGTTGGAGCAGCTTCAGGGGCTTCCATTTGTCATTTCCCACTACAATAGCTCTTAACTAAGAACTCAAGGATCAATGTGAAGGTTCTTCAAACTACCAACAGTGTCCCTTCTAATTATGTATTTGGAAATGAGGGAAAGGAGCACCAGGTTAGTCTGTGGACCAGTGGGCCCACTGAAAGCCAGACCTCAGAGGCTCTAGTAGACCCTCTATGAGCCCACATTAGTAGGGAGCCATGGTGGTTCAATGGGTCTCCAGGTCAGTTCAGACCCAGTGTTCAATAATTCTCAAAAATAGAGTATTCTTCTCTCTCAAACCACATTTACCTGAATAAAGTGGTCCTGAGCTCCTTGGTTAAGAAGTAGGGAAATAACAAATGAATAGATTTGCCCTGGTATTGCCAGCTCTTAGGAATCAGCCACTGCTTCAGCCAGTGGGTCTGATCTGGAATGGGTCTGATCTGGAAACTGAACAAGGGATTGTGATTTTCATTGAGATGCTGCCCTTTGCCTCTAATTTTCCTTCATTGATTTATTTTGACTGTGTAAATTAAGCAGTACTCTTGTTGTCCTCCCCCCAGGACCTCCCATCTATCTTTTTTTTTTTTTTTTTGAGACGGACTTTTGCTCTTGTTAGCCAGGCTGGAGTGCAATGGCACGATCTTGGCTCACCACAACCTCTGCCTCCTGGGTTCAAGCAATTCTCCTGCCTCAGCCTCCTGAGTAGCTGGGATTATAGGCACGCACCACCATGCCCAGCTAATTTTTGAATTTTTAGTAGAGACAGGGTTTCACCATGTTGACCAGGATGGTCTCCATCTCTTGACCTCGTGATCCACCCGCCTCGGCCTCCCAAAGTGCTGGGATTACAGGTGTGAGCCACCACGCCCAGCCCCTCCCATCTATTTTGCCTTCAGGAACATCATGTTCTAGTAACCATCTTCAAGTTGGGAGTCCACCGATGCTACCAGTCCTACCCCTCTTTGCAATAACCGTGGCCAGTTCTGAAAGCTAAGCGTTACAACCTGGCCCATATTCTTTGGAGATCTCGCTGTTCTCGTGTCCTTCAGGGAACCTAGTTTTACAACAGCATCTCTTCCGACAGTTATCCCTGGCCTGCAGATGCCGGCACTACTGAGCACTAGAGTTGCTATGTCTCTCACAAACGCAGGCATCACAGATTTGGTAACTAGAGACCTTCTTGGGAACACAGTTGGCGAGTGGTTTGGTTTTTCTAGCTTTAGCATGCCCACTTCTCTGAGCCTTAGGATGCTTTTATCCATCACGCACCATGGAAGTTTCCACATTTCTATTTAATGGAGTGTGAATCCAAGTGTTTGAGACACTTCAAGAATCATCCTAGTAGTTTATTATCATCCCTGGGGGATTGTCCATAGCCTCAAATCCCAAGTCATGGTAGGCTGCTCCCATGGTGATAGGCATTATCCAACTTAATGTCCATTAATGTCCATTATCCAACTCAGTGTCCTTGTTCAGTTTCTAATGTCCTTGATACACCAGCCTTGGGACACATCCCCATGCTTCTTCTCCTGGATCCTGCTGTGACATCACAGTATACTCCGTTTCTTCCCTTAGCCAACCCAGCAGATCCCCAGCAGAGATGAGTTTGGCCCAGATGGGCCAGCTCAACAATAGGCCTAGCAGGTTCAGGGGAGTTTCAGAGTCCCAGTTGCATCTACCCAAGCACTCCTCTCCCAGTTTTAGGGGTTCTATTTCCCTATTAGGGTTCTAATCTTGGGACAGGAGACTTGCTGAAGCTGAGAATCCAAAATTCTCTGAAAGACAGCTCCTTTTTACAGTTGAGTCTTCTTCTGACTGCAGACTAGGGCTTAATTGAGTACAGCCTGGAGACCCTCTCTGTGGCTTTCACATTCTGTGTGAATTAGCGATTAATCACCCTGAGTCTTTTATTAGCTCTTCAACAAATCAATGCCACTTGTAAGTAGGTATCCAGTCCCAAAGTGCTTATGATCACTCTGCCCCTCACAACTTTTAAGCACCGAAGATATCAAAGCGGCATCATTCGTCTGGGGTCATACCTGAGGTTTGTTGACTCACGCCAAGGTCATCAAGGGTGTGGACGCACAAAGAGTGAGTTTTAAGAGTGGTACTTTAGTAGGCAAAAGACAAAAGCTCCCTTGTGCAGAGGGAGGGAGTTCTGAGCGGATCTCCCCATTCGCAGAGAGATGCAGTTGGTTTTATAGATGAGTTTGACGAGGCAGTGTCTGATTTACATAGGGTGCAAAGCATTGGTTGGACTAGGTGTGCCATTTACAGAGCATGTGAAAAAGGTAGCACCCATCCTCATTTTTTTTTATGCAAACGGGTTATCTACCTGGCTGTCACCACGTTGCCTGTTCCCTGACTGCACACAGGTGACAAAGAAAAGGGAAAATGCAGCCCCCATGTGGAACGTGCTTGACCCCCAGGTGCCTTTTCCTATCGGCACAGCTGCCGGCATTCACCTGTGCAAACTTCTGGCTTGCTTTTCTACATCTACAGCTTGATTTTTCAGGCTGCTCTTTGTTAGAAAAAAAAAATGATTGGGGGCTGCTTTTTATTAAAAGGGAAACGTATTAAGAACTCTCTTACCCTCACTATCTGTCTAAACAATTTTATTTTAGTTTCTGTATCAATATTGCACCAGCCAATGAGTCCCCCCACCAGCATCCCATCCTAATTTACATCTGGGAAGAGTTTTAACGATTCACTGCTGCAGCATGCTGGGACCTATACTCAGCATCTGGCCAATGACTGAGCTTTCTCCAAATCCCGTGTTAGACTATCCTCTAGGAACTGGAATTGTTTACCTTAGATTGGGTTTCCAAACTCTGAGACAGAGTTTGGAGCAGGAGATTTATTGGGGAATGCTTGCAGAACAGAGACGCTTAAGCACATTGAGGACTGTGCAGCGGGAAAAGCCATCAGGTCACGATTGAGGACTTGTCTGATCCTATAGGGAACTCTGGAGCTGGGTTGGGAGGCGGCATTTTAGAGTTGTGCCAAATAGAAGTGAGACAGGCTTTTGTAGCCCACATCCCTCAGTCACTGCAAACAAGCCATCCCTAAGAGAGGGCATGCATTGCCACTAAGGGCCAATCGCAATGAGGATCTATAGCTGTTACTTTCAGTGAGGGTCCGCAGCCAGGTGAGATAGGATGGGTGCATCAGCCCTGAAGAGGATATCTGGGCAGAGCACCATAATAGTCATCCTTCCCTGTGCATTAGGGGTAGGCTTGGGGGCTGGAGCATGGGGGGAAGGAGGAGACAGAGAAGAAAGAACATGGAGGCCTTAAAAGAGGCAGAGTAAATTCTGCCTGACATCAAAGGTAATAGAAAATCGCTGATAGATTTGATCAAGTCACAACATGCAAGGTGATTGGAGGGAACAGAATCTGGTCCAGATGGGCCAGCTCAGGG